GGTGGGCGGATTCATGAAAAGGAGGCGGCGGCTGCGACGACGACGACGACTGGGGCCTTTTGGGGTTGAGAGCGGGTTAATGCGACGAACAGGAAGGGGGCGGTTCAGGTGTTTTGCGGCTGAATGACGTAAATTGTAGTCAAACAGCAATAGAGACGGCAACAAACAAACAAATGAAACAAAACGAAACGATACGAGACTGAGACTGAAACGAAACGAAATGAAACAGCCAAGCAGGCTACCAACCAATGCGGGCCTTGCTCCACTGGCTCACAGATCTCTGGGAGATGGCATCCCTTTGCCGTCTGCCCCACATTGATGAGCTGAGCTGAGGAGGCTGCTTAGTTCGACATACGTGTGTGTGTCTGTGTGTGTGTGTAACAGCAAATACTTGTTAACAAATGCGGGCACACTGCGCGCATTTTCATAAATGAATTTCACTCGTGATTTTGCCAGACAAAGCGCTGTCGATTCTATTGACACCAGCTTCACCTCTATTCTCTATTCCTCTGTTCCCTTTCTATATGCTCTTCTGCCTCTGCTTCTTATATAAACATTTTAATTGCCAGTGAATTGGGCGTTTGTTTCACTTTTTTCACTTTTTGGTATTAGAAGAAGGGATTCTTGTCTTCCTTTGATTTAGATGATAAAGAATTTATAAAAGTGAAATATTATTGAGTTGATGAGTTCTGATTTTCTGCATATTACTGTATATGCAGTTATTATAGAACTATCGAAAACATATCAGCCCACAATCATGGGATTCTCAACTACTTCTTGTTAGGATTAGCATTAGATATAATATTTCTTGTTAAGCTGCTTATGAGCATTAACATCAAATATAAGTTATATAGAGATAGCTTATGCTCAACTTTTGTTCCCTGCAATTAATACATGAGCTTGAACGAACTAAACGAAACTATAAAATTCTTTTGAATTTCTCGCTCTCCGCTAAGATTATATATTTTCCAAATCATTTCAGCTACAGCCTTGAAAAGTTGACTACTTCCCTCTGTTCTTTTTCACCTCTAAGAAA